AGCTATAATTCAATATTCCCCACTATCATAAAAATTACATTAATATGTTATGATATGCTATTATCAATTTACATGATGTAAATCTCTATTAAATATAAACAATAGGAAGCATGAGGTATTTTTTACATTTCAGAACAGTGTGTCTAGGTGCAAGATTAGTGGTCATTAAACAAGTGTGGTCTGGGAGAAACAAATGGAAGACTTAGATAAGGGCACATTTAAACAGAGGGAGAATCATTAGCCGGGTGGAGCAGAGGCCACGATGCTGGGAAGTGGGAGAGGACAGGCTGACAGCAGAGGCGCATCTGCAGACCCACGGACACGGCACCCTATGTCCCGACCAAAAAAACAAAACAAAACAAAAATAAAGGAGACTATATTTTTAAAAAGGATTTAATTGATTCATTAATGACAAAGATCCCAAGAATCTTTTAGAGGAAAGTAAGCACATCACAGGCTTAGAGTTGCAGAGACTCCCACCTCCTGGCTCCCTCCCGCAGGTGCTTCTCTGCTCTGTCTTCTTTCCATGTTAGTCTGGTCACTTTTGCAAATAAAACTTCTTTGTCTGCAAAAAAAAGATAAATAAATAAATAGGTGACATTGTGAACTGAGATCTAAATTCCAGGAATCAGCTAGAAGGTCAGCAGGAACCCTTGTGGAGACAGCATCAAAGATCCAGGAGCAGGGCCAAGCTGGGTGGGCACGAGCTGGGGGGCACGAGCTGGGGGGCACAAGCTGGGTGGGCATGAGCTGGGTGGGCATGAGCTGCGTGGGCACGAGCTGGGTGGCACGAGCTGGGTGGCACGAGCTGAGTGGGCACGAGCTGGGTGGGCACGAGCTGGGTGGCACGAGCTGGGTGGGCACAAGCTGGGTGGGCACGAGGTGGGTAACACAAGCTGGGTAACATGAGCTGGGTAACATGAGCTGGGTGGGCACGAGGTGGGTAACACGAGCTGGGTAACATGAGCTGGGTGGGCACGAGGTGGGTAACACGAGCTGGGTAACATGAGCTGGGTGGGCACGAGCTGGGTGGGCACGAGGTGGGTAACACGAGCCGGGTGCCACGAGCTGGGTGGGCATGAGCTGGGCAATGTGGGACACTTCAGGTCTCAGGTGAAGTATTGCAAATACGCTCCTGAAGTGTCCTACATTGCATTTCTCCATATCAAAATAAAGTTTGGGAACATAGTTCTGCACTGTGAAAAATAAATGCCATCATTTTCAAAATTTCCTAAACATCTTTGAAAGGCATGTTTTGTCCCTCATCTAACGGGATTTTTCTGCAAAAACCAATCCTTTCAAAAGGCAGTATGATTGCCTGTCACTCTTTTCTACCTTTATATTCCACCATCTTCCTCAAATTTGTCTAGTTTAATGGTAAAGTAATGGCAGCTTTATGGTAACCACTTCATGATCCTTGTTTCCTTTCTGCGGGTGAGCAGAAACTATTCAGTCAACCATTAAGAGAACAAGGCTGTTTTCTTAATGCAAGGAAAATTAGATCTGATGGTCCTGAAGATGTCATACTTAGAGAAGAGACTTTTCATAAAATCTAAAACAATAGAACATAGCCTTGGAAAACTAGCTATTCGTAAAATTGATGGGTCGGTGCAGCGCTAGAAATTATCTGGCCTGCTTTCTGTATTTTACTGAAGTGAACTCTTTTACAGACACCCAAAGAATAAGTAACTTGTGTGGGTTCTGTTTAGTGGCAGCCAAGCATTCCGAGTGTTCCTCGCAGTCTGAAAACTGCTCGCAACATGAAGTGAATCACTAGATGTTCTGTGTGCTCACTGCATAAACCATCTGCCGTTACAATTCACGCACAGCAACAAAGCAGTCACTATGAGGGTGAACGTAAGAGGGGCACACACCCCAAGCCTGAGTTGACTCCAATCAGGCACAGAGCGCCAATGGATATGCAAAGGCCAATGGCAGGCGTGATGTGGTTAATGAACTCAGCTGTTGGTGCTGATCGGTTTAATTGGAAAGATGGGATTCTGGAGTTTGGTTCTACGTGTGTGGATTTAAAATGTGTCTTAGACCTCCAAAGGTAGTCACTTAAGTGAGTGTAAGAGTGTGGTATTTGGAAAGGAGGCCTGGCTGATGATGTGTTTACTTGTGATGTATATTTTGGAGAACATCTGTGACTGGTACAGACTGTTTAAAGCCGTGATATTTGAGAACACCAAGATAGCGAGGGCAACTGTTGCAGGCAAAAGACTTTTTGGGCTCAGCTCTGGTATGTTCCAGCCTTAAACTGTCAGGAAGAAAAGAGGGAATTAGGGCAGACTGAGCCAGTGAGGTAGTCGTAAAACCAAAAATGTGAAATATCTTCAGACGAATTAACAGAACATCACTGAGGCAGACAGGACAGCAGAATCAAGTCACTCTGGAGCCAAAGTTACCCCAAGGCTTCAGCACGATCGAGTTTTGGTATCGTCTTGCCAAGATCCAGTTTGGTGAACTGATTGTAGTGGGAGTCCAAAATGGAATTTAAGAGCAAATGGGGCATAGGTATTGAGATTGATGACTCAGGGCAATTTTTTTTTTCCAGGACTTTGCTTGAAAGGAGCGCAAAAGAATGGTGTTGTAGCCAGAATGGGATCAAGAGAAGGGTTTAGGAGTGTTCCCAGAACCTTTGTATATTAAAGGGAATGATCTATCAGAAAATAAAAAATGGAATGGATGAGAAAAAATGTCCTAGGGGAGCGCTCTTCAGTCAAACAAGAGGACAAAGCGTAAATGGAGAATCTCTGCCTGTTGGGGTCTCCCTTCTCAGCTGTGGCCCCTTGCTGCCCTTTAAGGGCATCCTCAACTCTCTCTCTCGTCTCTCTTAAACTCACAGCCACCTCTAGAAGGCCCCTGACCACCTTTCGTGATTATGTACACATAGCATTATGTGCCTTGTCCCATTCACAAAGGCCATGGGCAAGTGATCAGCCCAGGTTCTGTATCTAGGCTTGGACTTGCTAGGCAAGGCATCCCAGGGCCTTGGATGTCCACAGCATGGAATGAGGTTCTGTGTGTGAGCATTTCCTCGGTGCCGTAGCTCACTCGCTCACAGCATACTGGGCCAACGTTTGGCATTTACAACAGGAGCCCAGGTGCTAGTGGGAATAAGGCAATGGTTGCAAATGAGTAGCCCTGATAAAGGGGATGTATGAATGTTCTGATGTAATTGCTTTCATTTTCTAGATAAGAAGGGGACGAAATCATCGGTAGGGTGCACAATGGGCGGGAGTCATATGAAGGGTGTGAGAATACAGAGAAGGTGTGAAACCATCATTTAATGATGACAAGGTTAGTGGGATGTGGATGGACAGTAGTTAGACTTCAAGTTTGTGATTATAAATCTAAATTGACAACAGTTGTGATTTTTCCTCTAACTTAGTCGTGAGATTTCTGTCTGAAAAGTGGCCCTAAGTCCAGGGAGACACTCTCAAGAGACACCCAGTAGGGAAGAGGGGAGTCCGTTAGACAGGTTACATACAATGTAAAGGTGACGCCCAAATCCATGAGACAGAAGAAATCATTTCTTTACAGATCCCCAGAGAGGAAGGGCACCCAGTGGACCCATGAGATGTCTAGAGGCACAGGGGCTCTCAACAAGTGTGTGGGAAATCCTTTATTGGGGCCTGGGGTGTATCCCAAACAGGTTTCCCTTAAGCCACCCTGATTTTTGGTTCACAGCCAGTAGACAAGCATCCCATAGGATCATGCAATGACCAAGATGGGGTCCATGCGGCATATCCTGATGCTCGTGAGAAAAGTGGATTATATCTAGTCACTTAGAGTGAGGTGGTCCCTAGGAGTGGCTAAACAGGGCCAATATCCAGAGGACACCTATTAAAGAACTGGGAGGAGATACAGAATTAAAAATAATGTCCAGGATAGCTAAGCCAGGTTCCTGGAGTAAGAAAGTCCAGCTTTAATTCAAAATGAATGCCAAAACTTAAATTATGAGAGTTGAATATATCATTCCATTTAATTATATAGTTGTTCTTGAGCCATATTCCACTCCATGAATTCATGGGTAGAGAAAAATTGGACTTTTAATAAGGCTGTGCTTTCAGTGTCATAGAAGCAATCACAGTCACGACTTCTTTGAAGTGCAGGTTGTTCCATCTTTTGCAGATGGCAGCTCCTTCACATTGGTGCTGCGCTTGATTGACCTGATTCTATTCATCCTTGGACGTGTTCTTCCTTTTTGGTACAAGATGCCCCAGTATTACGTTATTCCTTGTTCTTATGTTAGAATTATCCATTCCTCCAAAAATCCAACTTGATTGGAAAGAAAATAGAATCTAGAGACAATCCAGTGCAAAGAAAGTTCATGGTTAAAGGACTATCACTGTGGCGTCACATTTATCACCACTTATGGGATGTTTTTGCGGTCAGATTAGAAGTACGCATAGACAAAAAACACACATTAATATGTACCACTCGAATTTAATATGTACAAATATTTTGGTTATATTTTTTAAATTAATATCTTGACAATAGAGAAACATATCGATCTCAGTGTCCTTGGCCGTCCATCTGTGATTCAGGAGTAGACACGCATACTGCAGTGTGTCTTCATTTCGCAGCAGGTTTTTCTGCCTGATGCAGTTACTCTAGATGAACATATGTATATACACAGTCTTTATTTATATTTCTTTTCTCCTTATTTCTGATTAGCCCGTCCCACAATTCTTGTCCACAGTCAGAAATTCTTTCTTCCACTTGCCCTGTCCCACTGTTAAAGTTTTCCATTATATCTTTTATTTCGCCGATTGAAGATTTGGTCTCCCAAATTTTTATTTGGTTCTTCTTAATTCTATCTCCTTGGTAATATGTACATTCATGTCACTCACTGGTATCTTTATTTATCTGTTTTTTTTTTTTTTTTTTGCATCTCATTCGGCTTCCTTTTGAATTCTATTATCTCATTTAGCAGGTTATCTGCAGTTCAGGACTGAATTCCAGAAGGTTATTGGGCTACTTTCAGAGGCATCATGCTACCTCGCCTCTTCGTGTCTCCCGCGGCCCCCATTGACATCTGCTTATCTGGTAAGTTCATCTCTTCTTATTTATGGAGTACATTTCATTGGACAAGAGTTTATGATTTCACTGGAATGCAGGGTATCTTTGAACTTGTTGCTTTGCCTGTGGTTCTCAGCAAGTCCAGGAGTGGAGTCTGTCTTAATCAGTGTCGGCTGAGTCTCTCAGAAACACCATGGTCTGACCTGCTGCAGGTGGCACTCCTTGCTGCCTTCAATAATTAGTATATACACTTTGTCAGCTTATTTGAAGCTAGAAGGAACAAGATAATCAAGTAGCACGAAGGTAGGATATCACATTTCCCAGCTAGCAGTGCGTTCATTGGCAGCTTTCTCTGTACGTGTGTGCATGCTCACGGGGAAGCGTCACTTCCCCCTCTGATAAGTAACCGCGCTCGCTCCAGTCAGCAGGCCTCGTCTGTGTTTATGCTAACTCCAGCCTCTCCAGTGTTTATTCCAACTTGAACTTCTCTGATTTCACTTCTGTATTCTTGTCTGGCCTAAAATTGAACGGGTTAAGCAAGCCAACACATCAGCTACACACCAAGGATTTCATTACGGTGTTAATACATCATGTGTTTTAGTTAAGAAATAGGGCCAAAATTCCTTCCCAATATATTTTACTGCCATGTTTTTTTTTTTTTAATTTTCGGGAATTTATGGACACATTAGACTCTCAGGGTCAAAATGAAAGGATCATAATTACTACCATATGATTCTCATAAACTCTCATGTTAATGTGACATTAGTACAAAGAGAACAGATTCAGAGTAGCTCATATATAAGATTCTAAGAATATGATACTTCTTTCTTCAACTTTTCTTTCACTCTTAATTTTTGAATATATTCTTAGTTCACAGTATAGTTAAATGCCTCATGCTCTACTAGAGTCCGACAAACAAAAAGTCAAGAGATCGCCTTTACTATTTCAGAAAAGTCCTTTTTCATCACTTTCATAGAAAATTAATTTGTTCACATTATTCATTATTATACAGTATCCTTAGTTAATAATTGTACTCCATCCTTTTTCAACATCGAGAATGTAACCATTTTATTCAACATGTTTGTATTTATTCTTGAAAAATGGAACTATTCAGTTTGAAAGAAGTATTTTAACTCACAGTGCCACATTTTATAGATGTAACTCAAATTCTCCATTGATATTGGAAATCCAATATATTATTGATCTATCACAAGTGAAGTAAATTGTTGTATTAAATCAGAACTGAAGAAATGAAAAACTGGGGACTGTGTGATAGTTCAATTGGTTAATCTTTCACCTGCAAGTGCCGTTATCAACCATATGGGTGCCGGTTCATGTCCCGGCTGCTCCGCTTCCCATCCAGCTCCCTGGGAAAGTGCCAGAGGAAGGATTAAAGCCTGGGGATCCTGCACCCACATAGGAGATCCAGCGGAGTCTCCTGGCTCAGCTGCAGCCGTTGCAGCCGTGTGGGGAGTGAGGCAGCAGCCGGAAGGCCTTTTCTCTTTCTCCTTCCATCTGTAAACTTGCCTTTACAATAAAAATAAATAGATCTTCAGTAAATCTTTTTTTAAAAAAAAAGAAAGAAATGAAAACTGTATTCCAGGGAACATATTTAGCCTATACGTTAAGATAACTCTGTTCCAATAGGGATCCCTGCACTGAATCCCCAGCTTCAGCTCTCAAAGTTTGAGTGACTTTGCCAGTGGATTTTGGGTAATTTCCTCACACAATACTGATCTATATACTCAATTAAAGATGCTAGGGGGCCCCATGAGAATCTCAGAATTTCCCTGCAGCTTCTTCCTCCCAAAGACACAGTATGGCACCTTCGCCTCCTGACATCAGCTCATGCCCCAGTTCACTGTCTGCACAGGGACCCCTCCGCTCTCCCTGCACCGGGGCTGGAGTGCCTCTTGGCCATTGGCTGGGACCGTCATGGTGTGGCCCCATGTGCTTCTCTTCTCTCAGGAGCTTTGATGCCTGAGGTGCCATGTCTTGCAAAGCCTTTGTTTCAGAGATGGGGTTCAGCCTGGGTTGTTCGGATATGAGGATGAATCTGATTTCCTTCTATGAAAGAAGAGCCCAGTCCACTCACTGCATTTCTGCACCATGGGCCTGACCCCTGCTCCAAATCACCCTGAAAGGGAGTAAGGAGAAAACAGCACAATTCTTGTCAGGACCCTGCAGGCTCGGAAGAGATTGGGTGACCTGTCTAGGAAAGGCACCTTGGGATTTAGGAGCCTGCACACATTAGCAGAGATGGTCCTGGAAAGCCTGGAGAGACACGGAGAAATGGGGGAGGTAGAGGATGGAGGCTGCACGTGTGCAGGTGGCCTGGCCTGGTGAGGCCATTGGAACTAGAAGGAAGAACGCCCAAAGGGCAGGCCTCATCAGTTACCCAGCGCTGCGTGTGGTGCTGTCTCATTGGAAAAGTTTGATTGTGGGGGCGTATTATGATGTGTGTTTTGTTAAAATGATTTAAATACTTGGGAGAAACACTGTTCGCTGATGCGAATTACTTGGAAAATCAAACTCATAAGCTTAGCGATAAAAAATAACATTTTTCCTAAGATTTATGAAGATTTCAGCAGAAACTGTTCCCACTCTCTGGCCAAGTGGCTTTCTGGCAGACAGGGAACTCGGACAACAAGGAGGTCACTGGAGACCAGATTACAACATGCAGAGTAAAATAATGCATGCCTCTTCAGAAAGTTCTGGGCCTCCGTGGGCAGCAGCATTTAGGTATGTGAGGGCCACAGACAGATGGTGACATGGGTCCACAGAGCTTCCTGGGATGCGGTTGGGCACTCAGGGGTTGTCCTTGCATAGACAGGATCACTTTGGGATGATTTTTCTGTAGCTCTAAGGAGCCATTAAGAAGGTAAGGAAATATCATCAATCAAGGATTTCTTTCAGTCCACGTCACAAGATTTGGTTAAACGTCACAACCGTACAGGTTTGTGGTGTCGAAGTTAGACGGAATCAGGCAGCTCAAGAATCTAACCCTACTCTGCCAAGATCATTCTCACTGTATCCACAGCTGATTGTGCCTTTGATAGATCAGCACTTATAATTTTGGAAAAATAACCAAAAAAATTTTTTTTCATAAATTAAGATCTATTTTATTCTGGTGGGTCAATAGAAAAATTAAATAATTTATTCAAAGGTTTCTTTTACTACATTCTCAAGTAAAATTCCCCTAGAGAAAGCGGCTGTATTACTCTTGGAAAAAAAAATGAAAAAATGTCATATCTGAAAAGAGCTTGAAAAACTTTAAAATCTAATATAATTTTCACAATTTATTACAATGACAGTAAAAGAAACTGGGCTTGATTTAAGGTCACAGCACAACCTCATGAACTGACATTTTACACAGAAAACCTGCTTTCTTTGTTCAGCAGATAAAATAAGGAGCAGGATTCTTAGAAAAAAATGATGGGAAATTATCTTCACACTCCAGCTGTACATGCATATTACTTATGGCTGGCATGAATTCTTGCTGAAATTTAAACAATTCTTGGAAGGAAAATGACCAAGCGAGGACATTAGAATAAAATATGCTAAAAAAAAAACCCTATGATTTATTGTTCTGATTGTGCAGAAGTTTAAATGTATACAAATGAGGAATCTTCAAAAAGTTCATAAAAGCGCATATTATAAGAAAGTGTGGATTTCAAAAAATGTAATTTCATGAGTCATTGTATCTTTCAATTCTGCTTTCATATTCATTTTTTAAAGTACCCTCCTGTAAGAGACAAGTAGAAATTGTCCTAACTTGCGTATTCCGATTCAGCGGGCCCGGGAGGAGACCCCGGATTCTGCGTATTCACTATGTGAATTGTGCTCTGTGCAAACCTGGGCTCCCAGAAGGACCAAGAAGCCCTTTGACTGTGATAATACTTGGTTGACAAGGTGAGGTTTAGGGCTGACTGTACCTCAGCTTCACTTTGATCTTTCATAAGTCTAGAGCTCCTTGGTTTCACCAGAGCTTGAAAATCTTTTGAATGGCGATGAGCTTAATGACAAAATTATTTTACTCTTGAAGAATTACAAAAACACAGATCCCCATCTAGAGAAATAGCTGTTGATCGATATTATTAATGATCTGTACCTGTTCAGTAACAGCAAATGTTGCTCAAATTTTTAAAAGACTGATCTGAGAGGCAAAAGGACAGGGAGGGAAAGAGCGACGAACAGACGTCTTCATCAGCTGGCTCACTCCCCTCGCCCCCAAAGGCCACAGTGTGCCACGTCTGAGCCAGGCCAAACCCAGGAGCTCTCCCCCATGGGCGGCAGGATCCAAGCTTAACCCACTGCAACACAATGCCAGCCCTTTTCCTTAAATAGTTCTAATAGATGAATTGAGCGACCTTGGTTTTATCATTAAAAAATTTTGCGATGCTGACTCTCTGTATATCCCAAGGCACTAACAATATCATGATGGATGCTTACCACTGATACTGCCAAATGACCAGAGAATTCTCCAAATTCACATCTGAGAAAAAAAATGCACTCAATGTTAATGATGGGCATTGATAGCCAATAATTTTTCCTCTGAATTTATCAGTCTTCCCCTGCTCCCAGAGATCTAATTATATTATATCGCTACAGCTTAGAAAACCCAGCTGATTTGGGACATTATGTGACCAATAGAAAGGGGAGAGATTAAAGATGAGGGAAAAGATGCATTCTACTGAGATAGCCAGAAATAAGCAATGAAGACCTGGCGGGGTGTTGAGCAGCAAGAAGAAGAGATTCTTGAGGCTTTGGCAGACAAAATTCTTGAGATTCTTGGGCTTAAGAAGGAAAGAAAAGTCTTGAGAAAATCGAATTGGACTGTTGAGTGGATGGTAAAATACACTAAAGGCAGAGGAAAGAAGAGCTACTGTGGACTAGGATAATGGATGAGGACTTTTTCTGAAGTTCATGAAAAATTCGTGTCATGGAATGACTGCGGAGTTCCTAAACATTTTGCCAAAATAAACCGATCTTTTCATCCCATCCTTCCACAGAATGTATGCAGGTTT